ATGCAAATAAACATAAAAATTTCAACTTCAAGATTTGGAGATGGTTTTATATAAACAAAAATAAAGTTAAATATGACATTTGATTTATAACGGTGGAAGATGAGACCTTTGGTTCAATATATCTACCACCAATATTTTCACAATTATATGATTTATTGAAGAAAAATCATGAGATTTAGAGTTAAATCATGAGATTTCTATGATACTCTACTTTGTGTGTATTGAAGAGAAAACACAAGGGTTAAAGTTAAATGATCATTTGGTACTCTTTATGAGTTGTGTGTATGGTGGAGAAATCATGAGACTTATAGTTAAATCATACTCTACTTGTGTGTATTGAAGAGAAAATGCGAGGATTAAAGTTAAATCATGAGAGTCATATGCTACTCTTTATTGTCATGTATTATTTTATATTCATATGAAAATGTAATTTTTTTTTATGTATTATTGTTGTGAATTTTGTATCATTTTTAATTTTATAATAAAATATATTTAATATTATTTCTAAGTTTTTAAGGTAAACTTTATTAAAAAATTGTATGTATTTTAATTAAAATAATTAAATTAAAGGTAACTTGAATAAAAAATATAAAATGTGAGGTCAAGTTTTGGTTTCTTATAGATAATCATCGTTAAAGTAAAAACTACTCAAATCAACTATAAACTTTTTAAATCCTACCAAATATTTTGGGCCCACAAAAAATATTTTAGTTAACCCACTTAGTTTGTTTTTGACTCATTCAACTTCACACTATCCCTATATATACCCCATGGAGCAAACATAAATTTCACTAGTTAGAATTTTCAGAGTTAACCCTAATTATGGCAACTATGAGTAGCGTAGAGAAAGATGTTGAAAATCAAGGTGGAGAGTTTTCAACAAATCATGATATTGAAAAGTGGTTGCCTATAAGTGCTTCCAGAAAAGCAAAGTGGTGGTATTCAGCTTTCCATAATGTCACTGCTATGGTTGGTGCTGGAGTTCTAGGGTTACCATATGCTTTATCTCAACTTGGATGGTAATTATATTTATACTTTTAATTTTTAATTCATATTATTTCATAAATTCTGATTATTCAATACTAACTTAGGTTTTTGATTTACCTATTTGTATAGGTTCCCAGGGGTTTCATTGATTCTAGTGTCATGGGTTATGACATTTTATTCACTATGGCAACTAGTTCAAATGCATGAGTTGGTTCCGGGGAGGAGATTCGATCGATACTTCGATTTAGGAGAACATGTGTTTGGATCCAATGGAAGATTTGGATTCTGGATTATAATGATACAACAATTGACTGTTCAAGTTTCTTCAACCATTGTGTACTCGGTCACCGGTGGAAAATCGTTGAAGAAGTTCTGCGATATACTGATTCCATCAGTATTTGGAGACATTAGACAAACATATTTTATTGTCTTCTTTGTTTGTATACAGTTGTTCCTTTCACAGATTCCTAACTTCAATAAATTGAAAGGAGTCTCTATACTAGCCGCGCTCATGTCTATATGGTATGTTAAGAAACTCCTAGATCATGCAATTTTATTAAATTAAGACGAAATTTAAACTATATTTGTTGCGATTGCAGTTATTCGATGGTGGCGTTTGGGTCGTCCCTTGCGAAGGGATTCAAAAATCATCCTACTCACTATGGTGTTCGATCGCACACTCCTGCTGGGAAAACTTTCGATGTTTTTAACGCGCTTGGAACAATAGCGTTTGCCTTTGCTGGACACGGTGTGGTTCTGGAGATTCAAGCTACCTTACCCTCTACAGAAGAAAAACCTTCTAAAAAACCTATGTGGAGAGGCATTGTTGTTGCATACTGCATCGTTATTATGTGCTATCTTACTGTTGCGATATCGGGTTTTTGGGCATTTGGGACTATGGTAGAAGATGATGTACTCGTCTCACTTGACCATCCTCCATGGGTTATTGCTATCGCTAATTTAATGGTTTTCTTACACGTCATCGGAAGTTATCAGGTAACTATAGGGTTTAGGGTTTCATCAATATTTAAAAATGTCTTAGACGACGTATACGATGATACTAATAATTCTTTTCTTTATGTTTAAGGTTTTTGTAATGCCAGTTTTTGATACAATGGAGTCTTGTTTGGTGCAAAAATTTAATATGAAACCCTCAAGGACTCTTCGCATCATTGCTCGAAGTTTATACGTCGGTAAGATTAGTTACTCAAAAATATGAATTATAATTTGCATCTATATGTATATATGGATATTGAATCTAATATGAAAATTTTGTTTCTTTTATAGCTACGGTTGGATTGATTGCTATAATCTTCCCATTTTTCGGAGGGCTATTAGGATTTTTTGGAGGAATAGCATTTACAGCAACATCATATATCGTGAGAACTAATACTTATTATCATTATTAACCATGTTTTGAAATATTCTCAAATATTAATGTCATTTTACTAATCTTGAAATACTTATACAGATGCCTTGTGTCTTATGGATTATGGCCAAAAAGCCAAAACGGTGGAGCTTTCATTGGATTGCATCAGTGGTAAATTTTATTCTAAACTTATTCAAACATGAATTTATGTTCGTAGAAAATAATAATATATGTTTCTAACTTATGTTTTTGTTTTGTTTTGTTACAGGCTTGTATAGCTCTTGGCATTGTAATATCAATTGTTGCACCCATTGGAGGAATAAGAACAATTATTGTTTCGATAAAAACTTATAAGCTCTTTTCGTGATTATTAGAGGGTTAATTAATTGATGTTCTTGGTCTTTTTTCAATCCAAGAACATCATTTTATAGGAATTATAAGTTTTTGAATTTTAGATTTTAGTAGGGCTGGCAGAAATTTTAGCTGCATGGATGAGATTTGTAAATACTCATTCAAGATAGATGAGTTGGTTTAGCAAATTATTACGCTAAACCCTAAGAAATATTTAATGATGTATCTCCTTTCAATTTTTAATGGAAATATTAATTTTATATTTGATTCAATTTTTAATGGAAATGTTAATCAAATTTTTAATGGAAATGTTAATTTTATATTTGATTCAAAAATATGTTCTGCATAAAGCCAATTAGTTAGAATAATATGGCCTGCATTTGAAAAAAAAATCAGTTACAATTAATTACTCATTTAAAAATTTTAAATCGATTTCTTCGCCTTTTCGCCAAGAAATAAAAAGTATCGTGAAAAATAGCGGGATACATTAAATAAAAATGATCCATATATATGATTGGATTAAATATTGAACATTAAATAAAAATGATCCATATATATGATTGGATTAAATATTGAATAATCGCTGATCCCCTTTTCTTTTGTACCAAAAGTATGGAAACCAAAGAATTTATGTTTTACTTGATTATTCCTTTCTACAAGATTCGAAATATTTTTTTTTCCATTCGAAAGTGAATCCATGGTAATTTGATCTTGATCCTTGTGAAGTAAAAAATGGGTTGTATTAGACCTGCACGACTTTCCTGACATACTATCCATAAATTCTGATGCATGGTACACATCGGTACTCCAATGCATTTCCCCTTCTGAGTCAGAATAAATATGTTTGTATATGTTCCCGCGAGGATCTCCGTAATCACTTGTTCTGATTTTACATATTGATCATTTTTAACTAATAGAAAACTTTTTGGTGGAATAATGACGTTATGTATAATATCGTAACTTTCTATAGTTACATACAAGTCTATATTACATATAAAAGCAGGATATCCATGACGTGTACGTGTAGGGTGAACTAAATCCTCATTCCATCGCACATATTCAGCAGTACCCCCTGTGAATACTCCACCAGTATGAAAAGTTCTTAATGTTAGTTGAGTTCCCGGTTCTCCAATAGATTGACCAGCAATAATGCCTACAGCTTCTCCCAATTCTACCAGGTCCCCATGAATAGGACTCCGCCCATAACACAATCGGCAGATCCACGACGTATTCCTACAGGTAAAGGGGGTTCGAATAAATATGGGTTGTGTTTGAAAAGTTATGAATCGATTGATAAGTCCAATTCCAATATCTTGATTTCTAACGACAATGCACCGTGAACCTATATATATATTGTCTGCTACTACACGACCATTTAATGTTTGTATCAAAATTCTTTCTGGCATCATTCCATTTCGGATGTTTACAGAAATCCCACGGATGGTACCGCAATCTGTTCGCCGTACAACAATGTGTTGAACCACTTCAACAAGTCGACGTGTAAGATATCCAGCATCTGATGTTCGTACAGCAGTATCTACAACCCCTTTACGGGCTCCGTAGCAAGAAATTATATATTCTGTTAAAGACAGTCCTTCACGAAAATTGCTTTGAATGGGTAAATCAATCATTTGTCCTTGTGGATCTGACATTAATCCTCTCATTCCGACTAATTGGTGTACTTGAGATGCATTTCCTCTAGCTCCTGAAAAAGACATTATATGGACTGGATTAAAGGGGTCAGTCATCCTAAAATTGGGAGTCATTTGTTGTCGCAAATATTCGCTTGTAGCATACCATATTTCAATGGATTGGCGTAATTTTTCTACCGCATGGACATTCCCATAATGATTATGTTTTTCCAAAACGGAACTTTGTTGTTCAGCATCTTGGACTAGCCATCCTTTAGAAGGTATTGTTAAAAGATCATCAATTCCTAATGAAATAGATGTAGCAGTAGCTTGATGGAATCCTAGAGTCTTTACTTGATCCAGGATGTGTGATGTATATGCCATTCCGAAATGATCTATTAATCTGCTAATAAGTCGTTTAATGGCAGTTCCACCTATCACGTTATTGTGAAAGACTAGATTGGTCCCTTCTGCCATAAGTCCCTCCATATTCCACTCAGTGGTATTCGGTTCGACGACAATAGATTTGAGTGAATGATTGGAAAACTCCCTTTTCTTTATGTTTATTTACGTAGAAAATTGAAAAGATGCTAGTTGACCTGAATTTACACCAGTATCCTAAATTTACTTAGCGTGGATACCAACACTAACCATCTATATGATTAGATACTATATGATGAATCGGCTCGAGAAAAACCTTGTATAGCTTCTTCGATTTCTCGATAAAAAGAAATATGACCAATAGTGGTTCGAATGTATATACAACGAATTTCTTTTTTTATACTTCTTATTACTAAATAATCCTCATAAATCTCATAATAGGTACCAAAAGATTCATAGTGAACTTCGATAGGAACTTCTCTTGAAGACATAATGCATTGATGTATTTGCCACCGGAGCCAAAAAGGACTATCCAAATTTATTCTTTTCTGTCTATAAGCTCCAATTGCATCATAGGAATTGCAAAAACAGGGTTCTTTTTTTTTCATATACTTCAAGTTCTTAAAGTTATTATTGCTCATTTTTTCATTTTGAGAATTTCTGCAATTAAACCAATTATACTTGTTTGCACAAATACCTCGACGATTTCCGCTAGTTAATACATAAAGTCCAATAAGCATATCTTGAGTTGGTACAGAAATAGAATCCCCAATAGTCGGAGACAAGAGATTCGTAGTAGAAAACATAAGTAAATGAGCTTCTGCTTGAGCCTCCAAAGATAAAGGCACATGAACAGCCATTTGATCCCCATCAAAGTCTGCGTTGAATCCCTTACACACCAATGGATGTAAACAAATAGCACGTCCTTCTACTAAAATGGGTTGAAATGCCTGTATGCCCAATCTATGCAAAGTAGGCGCTCTATTCAGCAATACTGGATGTCCCCGCATAACTTCGTGAAGTATTTCCCATACAATTGGTTCTTTTTCCCGGATTTGACTCTTAGCAACTCCTATGTTCGAAGCAATATGGTTTCGAATTAAACCACGAATTAGAAATGTCTGAAATAGCTCTATTGCTATTTCGGGGGGCAATCCACATCGATGTAATGAAAGTAATGGACCTACGACAATAACAGAACGCCCCGAATAATCAACTCGTTTTCCAAGAAGAGTCTCTCGAAATCTTCCCTCTTTGCCCGAAATTATATCGGAAAACGATTTGTAAACTTTCTTATGACCGTCCCTCATCGGTTGTCCGCGGATTCCATTATCAAGAAGTGCATCCACGGCTTCTTGTACCAATTTTTCTTGAGACATTACTAATTCCGCTGGTGTAAATCCACTTGTTCTTAATAGCTCAATAAGAGTATTATTCCGAAAGATAACTATTTTATAGAGTTTATTAATATCCGAACTCATTAGTTTACCGCCATCTATTTGAATAATTGGTCTCAATTCGGGAGGAAGAACTGGTAAGAGACATAAAACCATCCATTCTGGTTCTATATTTGTTAGGAGAAAATGCTTAGCTAATCCCATGCGTCGAACCAAAAAATTCTTTCTTCTTCGAACTTTTTGATTTTTCCATTTGTCATTGCACCCCTCTTTTCCTAATTCTTTCCATTCTAGCAACGAAGAATCCATAATAATTCTTAAATCCAGATCAACTAATTGTTGTCGTATAGCACCCGCTCCACTAGAAATTTCTCTATTTCGAAATGTATCGAAACCTTGAGTATCAAAAAAGAGTGGGATACTGTCTTTCCAGGATTGGATTTCATATTCGAATGAACCTCGTAATCGTAAGAAAGTTGGTTTTTTAACTACGGGCCTAGCAAAAGAAAAATTTGGATAGGATCCAATAAGATGGATCGCCCCCTTTAAAATCGGACATGGGTTTCCTCTCATCCGGCTAAAGTATTTGCACACAATTAAAGATAAAGAAAGGGGTTTCCGCTTTCCAATTTTGGAAAACCTCTAATCTAAAATCAAAAAGGTTTACTCTTTACTCAAGTTATCAATAAAGACCAAGCAACATTTCATTGATACATTCTTCTTTTTTTTCTGAATTTTTTATCCAATTCGAAATTAAGACAGAAATAAAATGTAAAATTCTTGAGTAGTCTACCTCCCTTCGAACGAGGAATCCTCTAAAATGAAATTCTTAATAAAAAAGGAATATCCTCGAATTCATAAGAGATTTCTTTGTCTATGTATCATACCGTTCGATCTTTTAGGTTAAGACGTCACCTCGACGGGTCTGCCACGATGTCTTAAAGCCTATATGCGATAGATAAACTTCTGCAATCATGATATATTTTATTCTTTGAACATAATTTGAGTTCTTTAAAAAAAAAGAGATGGAATAATGAATTCCACAAAAAAGTATTTTTTTTTCACAAGGTACATACAGTAAATAGTTATTTGTTACTGAATTGACCATAGACCAATTCCCTTTTTGATTGGGGAGTATTCAATACACCCATGAATTCTGAGCTTCATGTTACTCATTCCAAGAGACATGCCAGATATAGGACATTCCCATTTAATTGACTGGAATGACAGTTTATCATTCGAAATCTGTACAATAAGAATTTTTATCAAATCACACATCGCGGTATACTAGATTCTCTAATTCTTTAAGAGGTTTATCTAAAAGGCTCGCGATATAACTAGGAAGACGTTTCAAATACCACACATGGGTTACAGGACATGCTAA